TTTCTTGCAGGAAGAGATTCAAACAATAGAAGAGTCTATGGAGACAATCACAAGCAGGGAACTAAGAATAGCCATTAATGGCTGAAAGCAGCCCCCAGGCCTACCTAGTACTGTAGTCACAACTTCTGTAAACAACTGCTGTGATTTAGCTAAGTGTCCTCCAAAGACCCACATTATTAAAGGTGCCCTCCACAGAGCTGGGGCATCACCGTCAGATGCTGAGGCCTTACAACAGTGGAGCTACATGTAAAGTGAGGTCACTGGGATGTGGCCTCGAAGAGGGTTTCTGATATCTTCCTCTTTCCTTTTGCTTCCTGGCCACCATGAAGTGAGCAAGTTAGTCCATGATGGGTTCACTGCTCTGCAAGCTGCTTTGCTACAGAACCAAAGTGAGCAGCCATTTGATCACAGACTTAGACCCCTGAAACTGTGAACTAATGGATGCAGAATCTCCACCTCTTTGCAGCATCTAACTATTGTTTATACAGGACAACTGACCAAGAAGATATGAGATATGATAGATAAATGATAGAGAGATAGAGAGATAAACAGAAGACATATAGGTAGATAAAAAGATAAAAGAATTTTATTCAGCTACCAGAAAAAAATGCAATAATGTCATTTGCAAGGAAATGAAAGGACCTGAAAAAAAGCATACTGAGTGAAGTGATCCATGCCTGGAAGCACAAAGGGCATATGTTTTTCTTATATTAGGATCTCAGACCCTTAGACAACTTCCAGGTCAACATAAACAGGGACATATGTATATATAAATTACCAAGGTAACTAAAGTGTCGTATATGCAGGAATGATACTCTATGGTGTAAACCTTTTGGACAATTAATACAGTTAGACCAAATTAATATTTGGAGGCTGAAACATGTTGTAAATGATGGGGGTAATGGGAAGGAGACTATGGATGAAAAACAGAACTGTGGCTGAATAGTCATAATACACAATGTACATCTGTGGAAAAGGAAGTGGGAAACTTGATGTGACTGGTGAGGAAAAGAATTGGTGAAAAGGAGGAAGCTGATGGAAGGGGAAATTCTGATCAAAAGGCACCATGCACAGATATGGTTGTTTTTAATTTTAACTGCCTTGACAATGGCGTAATACACAAAGAGCTCACGAAAACTAAACTCAACCAACCAACAAAATAAATAAATAAATATATACATTTAATTGCCTTACACCAAAAAAATGAAAATAGAAAACCCCAATCTCCTGATAGGGATTCATAAACTCAATCCTCTAACATGCTTTCAACAGAGAACCCCATTCAACTAGACCCAAAATTCTAGATAACAGATTAAATAAAAAGAAAGGTATTTCTTTAGGCCACTAATTTTGTGGCAATTGGTCATGCAGCAAAAGAAAACTCACACACTGGGAACATTGTCACATGCCAACCCTGTCCAAATGAGAGGTGACCCTGTTGCAAATTCTTATTTGTTTCAGCAGAGGACAGTATGAGGGATGCCATCAGAATTCTGGGGAGACAAGCAACCACATTCTAGTATGAGAATGGCAATGACTTGAATGCCTTCCCACATTTCATATACTAGGGACCTAATCTCCATGTTCATATGTTAATCGTGTGGGGAGGCAGTGTCTTTGGAAGGCGGTTAGGTCATAAGGCTCTGCCCTCATGACTAGACATGTATCAATGGTCACTCATTAAGGGAGTGTTGAGGGCATGACTTTATTATAAAGGTGAATTCTCTCTGCCTAACTTGTGTCTCCCCATATGATGTCATCCACCACGCCACCATGCAACATGAAACACTTGCCAAATGCCACACAGAAGCCCATGCCACACTCAGGCTTCTCCGCCTCCACAACAGTGAGTCAAGTAAACTTACATTCTTTCTAAATGACCAGCCTTAGGTATTTTGTTATAACAACAAGTGGACAAAAACACGGAAAGGTAAAGGAATTCTTACTCTGAAACTATGTTTGGCCTCTAAAGGGGAAGGTTGATCTCTGTCTTCAAACCACTGCCCTGAACAGAAGGTATTAGACATGCAAGATGTAAAGTGATAATAAACATGAGGAAGATGATGCTAACACTGATGATGGAAAGGGCTGCCTTCGTTATGTGGAATCCAAACAACACATAATTGTATAAAATTCTTAAAAAAAAAAAAAAAAGGAAAAAAATCAGGACAAGCAAGTAAATGTGTTTAAAAAAAAAAAGGCTGAAAGGCTGAGTATGTGGCTTAGTGACAGAGTGTTTTCCTTGCATACATGAAGACCTGGGTTCAATTCCTCAGTACCACATACAGAGAAAAAGCTGGAAGTGGTGCTGTGGCTCAAGTGGTAGAGTGCTAGCCTTGAGCACAGCAAGGCTCAGTGCCCAGATCCTAAGTTCAAGCCCCAGGACTGGCAAAAAAAAAACTCACAAGTGCCACCAGTAATAGGCAATGGGTTGGACTTCAGTCTCCTCCAGCCAGCAATATCTGTGATTCTACATTTGGATGTATCTTCAAATGGTTGGTATCCCTTTGCCTAATAGATGCTAAGGATGTAAAGGTGAACTATAAAGGTGTTGGGCCAGAGACAAGTAGACACCTGAACCCTGCACTCCTTGCAAGTTCCCTAAGGGGAAAATATAAATCAATGGGGAGAAAGTGCAGCCCTCCAGTGCTTTAGCTTGAAGCTCAGCATGGAATTCTACCAAGTACTACTGTATCTTATAGAAAACTGCTTTTCCTGTGCAACCATTTCCTCATGACCTAGTGCCATACTCTCTAAAGACCTACTCTTAACAGTTCATTCTCAACATCCAAACTCAAGTCTCACTCCCAATTTGAGGAGTGACTGTTCCTACCAGGGAAAATCATTCAAAACTAAGAAGGGCTAAGAACTAAGAAGCTTCTTTCCCATTGCAGGTTTTTCTCCACCCAGGAAGAGCCCATTTTCACTCTATTATCCAGGGCTTCTCTTGACTGTTCCAGATCCTGACTTCCACATCATCATCTTTCATGCATGATTTACTCACTCCAGTAGCTTTCTGAGACAATGTAAAAAGAGGTTAGTTTTACATCTAACCTGGCTGATACGGTATTAATCATTCTTCTTCCTTGATACTTAACTGGAAAGAATCCTAAGATGGAAATAGTTTTCTTGGAATTGGAAAACATTCTGTTGACTTCCTATATAGATCTTAAGAAGGCATTATCATCAACAGTCCATGGAACATGATACTTTAGAATCATTTTTCTTATTCTTAGAAAATGGCGTATCTATAGGGTAGGTATTTCAAGGGAGGAGGGTTGGAAACTCTACTATTTCAGTTCTAAAACTTTTTCTCTTCTATTATTTCTACTGGTTCCTTAGTCTCTCCTCCCATATATGGGCTCAATGGAGCAAACTCATACCTGATATAACAGTGGCGGAAATATTATAAGCAGCGTGCTTGCATGCTGGGTGGCTTGAGCTCAGAGCACTAGCCTAAATGTCAGGGAATCCATTTCAACCCAGAGTCAATTATGACTCTATCCAAAGCCAGTGGGAGAGTAATAGGTCATCAGTACTCACACTTTCCTTCCCAACACACAGCCCACCTAACTAATGCAGGCTAAATTTACCAGTGCAACTATTATTTATTCAACAAACCTTTGTGCCTATATAATAGAATTCCCCTTTGCATGTACTGTTATAAGTAATCTTCATTTACTCTCTAGGAATTGTATTCGGTGTTGGAACACTTATATTAATCTAATTATCTTTTCTGTCTTATTTCCCACCTTTGTCTTTTTATACTGATATCTGGGACATTTCTGATATAATTTCAAATTTATGCTGTTTTATTTTTAATCCCTAACAACTGTTCTTACTCTCAGGTCTTTACTCTTTTCTTTTCTTTTTTTTTTTTTTTTGTCGGTCGTGGGGCCTGACTCTGGACCTAATCATCGTCCCTCAGTTCTTCACCTCAAGGTTAGAGCTCTACCACTTGAGCCAAGCACCACTTCCGGCTTTTTCTGATTATGTGGTGCTGAGGAATTGAACCCAGGGCCTTACGCATGCAAGGCAAGCACCCTACCACTGAGCCACCTTCCCAGCTAGGTCTTTACTTTTATTTAACTGCTTCTTCATGTCTGGGGAGAGCAATATTTCACCTATTTAATTATAGTGGTGTTCTAAGTTTTTGCTTCCTATCATATTTCCATGCCCTTCATTTATCCTGCAGTTTATGCTTGCCTTTGAGTTCTATTAATTTGTCTTATATTCACATTGGAAGTATTTTCAATGTCTAATGGTCTTCAGCTACCCATAACCTAACCCAAGTCATTCAGAAGTTGGTAAGAAGCGCAGCATGAAAGGGCAGAATTTGCCAGTGGAGGAGTGACAAGAATCTCAAAAGCCTTTTCTTTTACAGATTTTCTTCATTGTGCATTGCACTGAAGGTGGTTTCTCTCTCTGAACTTCATCAGATTCTGTCTATATACTCTGTCTACACTTTGATGAGAGGAACCATCTAATTCCATGCAGGGCCAGACTCAAGGCAGCTGCTATTTTATATAAACCATAAGAAAATGTATTTTCCAAATGCTTCTTCCATGGCTGTCCATTTCAATGCAGAACAGCATGAGGAGATTCAGATTCTCTCCCACTATGCTGCTCTTCCACTGCCTTCAGAATTCTGGTCCTTTTGGACTGTTCCCTACAAGATAAAGACATTCAGGTGGTTGAGTCCCTACCACAAGGTACAACAGTCTTCTGCTTATCATATCTCCTAATCCTCACTGGACCCTTCAAAATATCTTCAAAATGTATTCAAATTGTCAGTAACTCCATTTTCAGAGAAGCAACCAGGTACTGAGGTGCCATGTGGGTCTGACAACCCATGAATTCACCACAATGGATCAATCCTTGCCTTACCACATGGAATTTACTTTTATTCTGCCAAGAGAATGTGGTTCCCATGGGAACAGGGAGCCAGCCTTCCATGTGGAACCTAGGACAGGATAGTGGGCACACCAGAGACACTAGAGATGCTGCCTCTCCTGCTCATCTGTCTCCTGCCAGTCACTGTGGGAAAGAGCTGTCTCCGCTGCTGGCCAGAGCTGCCTTCCTTGCTGGACTATGACCTACAGCTTCTCTGGGGCAGCCCTGGGCCTCCCGCAGAGCTCTCCCAAAGCCTCCACTCCTTCTTCATGGAGGACAACCCCATGCTCAAATTCTGGTATCTTGGTGAGCCATGGCCAGGAGAACAAGGGCCATACTTTTGCCTGACCTAGATCTTACTCTCCTGACTGACCTCCCTCTATGACCCATTCTTAGATCGGGACCAACTGGAAGAAGAAACAGCCGTATTCTTCAAACAAATAGACCAAACCATTAAGAAGCTACGGGATGGTGAGGAAGCCAAGTGTCCCATGGGCCCTACGGCTGGGTGGACAAGGCCCAGCCCTCCAAGGCCTTCTCCAGGGCAGCTGTGACCATAATGCTGAGATGAGGAGAGCTAAGAAATGGGCACTGTGTGCTCCATGGAATTTCTATTTGGAAACATGGATTTGCAATCTCAAGCAAGTTATAAAATTGAGCATCCTTTCTCTTGTTGTACCCAGATAAAGTGTCACTTCTGGAAGAGATTAATTCACAAAAGAATCTCTTTGCCGAGAGATTAAATGAGAGATCTGATGAACTGAGGGAAAAGGGTAAGAGATGGGGCTGCCCTGATCCACCACTCAAACTTTTACCCTCCAGACCCAGACCAAACCTAGGCTCTCCCCACACATCCCTGCCCTGCCCATAGGTTAGATGCCTGCCATATCTTCCCAACCCCATGCCCTGCCCATACTCCCATCCCCTCCTGGCTCTTTCTGCCTCCCTAGCACCTCAGTTTCTCCACTATCCACCTTCCTGGCAGCCTGCAATGAGTCTTGTGGTAAGTAAGTCCAGGGACTGGGCTCAAGAGAGGGGTGAGACCTCCCCTATTCCTGACCCCTCTGAGGTCCTGGCCCATCCCTCTCACAGATATCCAGTCCACAATGGAAGTCACGGAGTGTGCCAACTGTGGGATTTACCACCTGTCCTGCAATGATCCTTCCTTCTGCCCAGGTCAGTGATCTTCCATTTTGTATGGCTTTCTCCTTCAGACCCCCACCCCTGGAGCCCATCTTTCTTCTCTATCCAACCCAGGACTTTCTCAGCTGTTCTTCCTCTCCCTTGTAAAGGAAGGTGGCACCTCTGGAATTTCTTGATATCTTCATGTCCAGGTCTTAGGCCTTAGAATCATCTGCTTCTGGGACCTCATGGTCAACATGTCTGGAACATACCCTGTCCTATCTTTTCTGTTCCCAAGCCTGCCCTGCCTGCTCTGCTCAAGCCTTCCACCACTTAATCCTCTACTTTATTCCCTCCATCTTAGCATGAAGAGCCTCTATGTAGCTTTACTAAATGACTCTTAAATATGTTCCTGTCTTTTCTAACTAACCTCTACCATTCTGCTCAAGCCTCTTTATTTCTTACCTGAGTTACAACCTTTCCTTACTAGCCTCCCTGTCCTTCCTGGCTACACCTCATGCTCCAACAAAAACCTCTTTCTCAAGGAGGAAAGTCTAACCATGATTTGCCCAGACCATAGCTTCCAGTGGCTCCTTTGCCTGACCTCCCAACCCCTGGCTCCCCTTTTCCCTCCCCAGCTATGATGATGCAGAACTACAAGTGGACTCTGATCCTTGCAGTCTGTACTGGATTCATGCTGGCTATCGCTCTAACTGGGTGAGTGCCGTCTCCTCTCCCCAACATTCCCAAGGAAACACACATGTTCCCTTGACTGACCCTAACTCCACTTGGTCTCCAGATGTTTCTTGTTATGGTGCAAGAAGAAGGAAGAGGAGCCAGTAAATGAGGTACTAAAAGAGCTTAGGCCTTTCAGGAAAGAAAATATGGGTGCTTGAGGATCTCAAGGCCTGAAGGCACCTCTCTGCCACTGGAGATAAACACCCAGAATAGAGAGAGATCTCAGGCAACAAGTAAGGGGTTACATATAAGCCCTGCATATCAGCAGATATTCCCAGGGTGGGAATCCAGGACACAGGAGAGCCAAGTTCCAGTCCCCTCTTTACTGCTAAAGTCTCAAGGTCTACCTTCCCTTACTGTGCTGCCAGAACCATAGCTACTTTGTTCTTGCTGTTGGATACCTTTGGTCAGGGGAAACTCCCAGAAGGAGATCAAAGAAATCAGAGTTAGGGTAGAAACCCTCTCTGCTTCTTTTTTCTTCTCAGGAACCAGATGTGACTCCCGAAAATGAAATAAAGAAAGATCAAGACTCAAGCTACTACTCTCTGAAAACGAACTCATCTCTGGACATGGAACCACTCTCTCCTCAATGACTTCCACCCCGGGGCCATGAGCTCTCTGAGGTTCTGAAGCCCAGGAGGCTACATGTTCAACCACTCTCTCAATCTCCTCTCCCCTCCCTCTCTCTTGTTCTCTCTCCAGTTTCCCTATTCACACATAATTACTTTTGCAAATAAGCACTCCATTAAAATATCTCTTCTTATCCTAATTGTCCTTTTCGCTTTTGGCTGGGACCAGCACTGAGACAACATCATGGTCTGGATATGTGGTGTATGAAGCACCCCCAGGGAGACTTCTGTGTTGAAGACTTGGTCCCCAGCTGCTGGATCCAAGCCGTGCCCCACCCCATTCTACCAACAGGCCCGCCTTACCACTGGCCCAGAGAAAACAGAGCCATTCACCCATGAACTGAAGCCTCAAACTTGAACCAAAATATTTTGAACCAAAATCAAGTTTGAACCAAAATAATTCTTTTCTCCCTTCTACACTGTTTTCTCAAGTATTTGTCACAGCAATGAAAAGTTACCTAATACAGATGAGATCCCCCTGACCTCAACCCTGTATCATTCTCTTGTCTTCTCTTCCTTCCTCATAACTTGTCACTGTCCAAACCAGAAATACCCTCTTCTGCCCTGGTCCCCATAGGCTCATGGAAGCCTCACCTAATTCTAACACCAGAAAGAAAAGCAGGGTAACCTGGGAGCCTCGGAGGAACCCTGTCTCTGGGAATAGGGCAGAAAAGACAGGAGGCCAGCTTAAGGGCAGGCAGGTGGACATCAGAAATCAGGTTTCAAGGCCACTGCTAGCAAAGCCACCAAGTCCTGGCCAGGATATCACCAATGTTTTCCTCATACTATCAGAAAATTATTTCCCTGGCCACTTTTCAGGACTGGATAAATTATGTTTTAATGGGTAACAGCTTCTTTAATTTCATATTAATACTCCAATTAAAAACACTGACAAACTACCTCACGATAAATGGAAAAGATCAGAAGGGTTCTCTGAAGGAAAAAGACAAAACCAAACATGCAAAATATCCTCCCCCAAAGTTGATCTTTCTCCTTTTATAATCTAAATGTGTAAAGTTTTATGAAAAATTAATCATTATACACAATACACATCTTCTAGAGCATTTCTAAAGGAAATTACAGTTTTTGATCTTCAAGAATAAGACTAAGATAGCGAAGGGGTGGGAACAGTGAAATCTGGGCAGCAGTATCTTTCTACACACAGCAAGCTGGCAGGTCATCAGTCAGTTGGTGGCTATAGCTCAGTACATGATTTGCAAGGCAACTAAGCAACCAGAACACATTCATTTCCCCTTCCTAGAGGTAACAATTCTTTTAAAAGCTATGAAATATCCATAAAAGAATGTTGATTTTGGTAGAGTTTTTCCTTCCAAAGGGAGCAAATAATAAATGGGGGCGGGAGCCTTCCATCCCTAAATTTATATGCACAAATGAAATTAGACTGTAAGCATAAATGGCTACTCAGTCAAAGAGTTGATGCAGTTGCTATTCTACCTAGATAGTTTCAAAACATGACCCAGAAAACCAAATACATACGCTATGACTCAAATAGGAAGCACTTCATTATTGTTCAAAGACCAAGTTTAATTAACTGCCAGGGTAACATTTTTAAGATGGGGTGTTGTACCTTACTGCACCTGAGATGGATGATTAAATGCTTTGGGAAATTCATAACAAACAGGTGCCCAACTGACTCAGGAAAGGAAAATGAGGACAGATCCTCAACTACAGCAACTACAACCCCTGCTTTTTTGTTTTATTTAGTTTTGCTAGCCATGGGGCTTGAACTCAGGGCCTCAGCACTGTCCCTGAGCCTCTTTGTGCTCAAGGCTACTGCTCTACCACTTGAGCCACAGTGACACTCTGGTTTTTTCTAAGTAGCTTATTGGAGGTAAAAGTTTCATGGATCTTCCTGCCCAGTCTGGATTCAACTGTGCACCTCAGATCTCAATCTCCTAACTTCTGAGTAGCTAGGATTACAGTCATGAGCCACTGGTGCCCAGCTACAACCCCTGCTTTGGGATGGGACAGAAATTCTATACAACAAGCTTTTCCCTAGGGAAGGGCGCCAGGCCCAACCTATTGCTTGCAGTCCAATGAGGCATGGAGCTAGGGAAAGAGAATTTGTCAAGTTTTTTCTGCTTATTTGGATCATAGGCGTGTTGGTGTTCTTTCTGTGTGGTTGTTTCCTGAAATCCACCTCAGCTACAATATAGAAGCATTCTGACCTGAATCCCCTCACCCACTTCCTACAGCCCCATGTTATTCCATTCTGAGACCTGAAGACATCCAGTCACACATGAAGTACTAACTCTAACCCAGGCAAAAATCTCTGACCCCTGTATGGCACCAAGCTAGCACATGGGCAAATGGATGCAGCAGAGAGGAGTGACACCTCCCTCCAACTCTTGGCTGTGTGTTAGCCTGGATTAGTAAACTCCAATGGGCTTCTTAACCCAGCTTCTGCCTGCTTCTTGAAGGAAGCCACCCCTCCTCCCACCCTGGTCTTCTCCCTGCCTGGAGTTCCCAAAAAGAAAAGTACGACTTGTGTCCCACAGAATGACATTCTATTCCTGGTCAAGAAACCTTCAAGGTTTCTGGTGATAACATCAGAAATGTCATTGTGACATATTAATGGAATCTCATGGTGCTGAAAGGTAGAAGCTTTGGAATATGAATAAAATTAGATTAGGTCATCAGGTTGAGCCCCTTTATTATATCCTGGTGACTTGCTTTATAAGAAAGAAAGACCAGAACACACACACACACACACATACACACACACACACACACATCACACATCACACAGATGAACTGTCTGTCTTTCACCATATAATTCCTTGGACTACCTTGGGTGAAAGTCTATCATCAGATGGATTCCTGGGCCTTGAACCTCCAGGATCGAGCCAAAGTAAACCTCTTTTCCTAAACTACCTACTCTGTGATAACTTGTCATTAGCAACAGAAAATCAGCCAGACACATGTTTGTAACCCTAGCTACTCTAGAGGCTGCGAGCTAGAGGATCTGCTCACCATGCCAGCTAAGATAGAAGAGTCCATGAGATTCCATCTCCAGTTAAACAGCAAAAAGCCAGGCTGAAGAGTGGTTCAAGTAGTAGAACATCAGCCGTGTGCATAAAAGCTGAGTAAGAGAGCAAAGCCCTGAATTTAAACCCCAGTATTAGGGCGCATGTACACACACACACACACACACACACACAAGTCCACATGCCATGGCATTGAGGTCTAGAGGCTGACTTGAGTACAGCTTAATCTGCAGAGCATCAGACTTAGAAAGCACAGGCCTTGAGTTCAAACACCAGTACCACCAAAACCAAAAATAATGAGAGAGCTCAGTGATTGCTGAACTCCTAACTTTGCAGGCCCCTAAAGTAGTCCCTTGAGCAAGCATATCAATGTATTGTGTACCCAAAAGACCAGTTCCTACTCATTGTGTCACCTCCTAGTGATGTGACTACGCTTTCTTCATCAAATCTACACACAAAAACTAGGATATTTTTCTATATTTTCATGTGCACATAAAACCTTGGTAAGTGTGTTATGCCTTTTTCTTGTTAATATCCTTTGCTATGAGGTGTCATCCATGGCTTTTAAAATGAGTGAACATGGATACCATGCATTTCCTCTCACACAAAGGGAAGAGAAGAAGAGCATGGGGGAGCCAGAGGCAAGACAGTGCAGAGCTGTGGGTCAATGTTGGGAATTTGGGAGTTTTGTGGAAGATGAGACAGCCCTGAAGGTTTACAAACAGAAAAACAATAAGATATGATTTGTGCCTTAAATACCAATGATAGACACAGAAATAGGAAAATAAGTAAGTCTGGGGAAGATGAGCATGCTAGAGCTCCCTGAATCTGAGTGAGCACCTTCCTTTCTCTGAGCTGTTTAATGCACTGCACAGAAGACACTGCCGTGGCCCTGGGAGGCTCCGGCGCTGTGTGAGTCACTCTCACCTCTCAGGTGTCTAACAAGCAAGTGACTCAGGATTCAGGCTGGAGCTGAAAACCCTCATGTGCTGACTTCCTCTGGGCTTAGGGCTCCATGGATCCACATGGCTGCAGAGAATTAGAAATATAAGTGTGCTCATCAAGAAACAATTCCTAAAAGGTCTGGTTTCCAGTGGAGGATTGAGGGCATTTATCTATTTCGTTTCCTCCTGAGACTTCATTAAAACTACACTAAAAGATTTTTTAAATCATAAACTCAGAAAGATGTGAAGAACGGGGGAAAGACCGCAGCAATTAAACTTTGGTAGCTTGGAGGTGAGTGAATTAATAAACCTGAAATGCAAATCCGAAGCCAGCAATGAGCCAGGCTCCAGTGGCTCACACCTACCTACACACTCCTACCTACCTACACAGGAGGCTAGCCAGCCCAAGCAGAAAAATCCTAGATACTCTTAGCTCCAATTCTCACAGAATGCCAGAACTGGAAGAATGGCTCAAATGGGAGAGCACCAGCTATGAGCAAAATATCTGAGTAAGAAACTTTAAGTTGAAGCCCCAGTATGGATACACACACACACACACACACACACACACACACACACACACACACATGCTATCAATGGAAAAAAGACCTATCCAACCTAGACTCTGGCATCCTAAATGCCATCATAGTGAAATAGCCATCAAGTGCCCTCCGCAAGCAGTGAGAACAGACAACAGTGGAAAGAAAATAGTGGTTCCCACAATGGCCTCAAGCATTCAACCTACTATCATTACCACCATGCCTGGGTAGCATGAGCAATAGAACTGAAGGAATTCTCCTCCCATCCTCACCTCTACCACTGCTCAAATATCCCAGGTGCTGGCACCCCTGGAGCTCTCTGCACCACATGGGTGAGGCAGATGCTAAAGGACAGGGTATCCTTCAAGGACAGGGTGCTTGAGATTGTAAATGAAGAGCCAAACAGGTGGCTTCTGGCTACTGTGCAGCTGGAATGGGATGATAGTGTGTGTGTGTGTGTGTGTGTGTGTGTG